TCAGCCTCCCCCAGCATTCCTGAGTCCAGCTGTGAAACCTCGTTGAAGAGAAACAGAGCCACAGCCATGCTATTATTATCATTATTTCAGTTTGACACCTAAATGGTGTTTTACAAGTCAGTCTCCATTCACACATCTCTTAATTAGGACCCAAACATGTGTTTTTCTTGGCTGGATCAGGGTTATTATCTTTACCTAACACTAAAACTCTTAAAAACATTTGTGTTGATTAAAATGAAGCTGAAATAAAATATAAGCATTCAATTAAAAACTCGATTACTTGAAACTTGAAAATGTTTTGACAATGAAAAATGGATCAACAATAAAAATTGAAATAAAATTAAATTAAACCTAAGTAGTAATATTCAAGAAGAACATAAACTAATAAAAATGACAAAAGCACATAACAGAATTACTAAAAAAAATTAACTACAATTTAAATGAAAACTGAAAATATAAAAACAAAAGCTACTTAACAATATTAATATTAATAAAAACTAAAATAGTATATAAATAATATATTTTTTAAAAAGACACTGGGCTGAATGAATGAAAAATAAGTGTCAACTTAACTCTTTGCCATTGCATTAAGTAAAATAAATAAATAACAATAAGAATAAGGCTTATGCATATTTTATTTTTTTTATTAAAGAACACACCGGGGCTAGTTGTCACAATGGGAAGAATATATTTTCTTGATGTATGAAAAACCTTTTAAAGCACTTTTTGTGTAAGAAATGTACTAGATTTTTTTGTTGTTGTTTATCATTTAGGAAAGGTTTACATGACACCGTTTTCAACCTAAAAGCAAAACTTGGTCACACTTTATTTTAAGGTCCAGTTTTCGGTATTAACAAACCATTAACTACAACATTTGCCTCAATAAGCTCCTAATTACTGCTTATTAATAGTTAGTAAGGTAGTTGTTAAGTTTAGGGGTGTAGAATATGGTCGTGCAGAATATGTGCTTTTACTTATAAACAGCCAACATATTAATAATAGGCATTAAAATAAGCAACTATTTAATAAGCCTGAAGAGTTTCGGTGTGACCTCACAGAGCTAAACACTCAATGACACGTGGTCTAATCTGGTCGCTCTGCCCGACATGCTGTCTGCACACTGTGTGTATAAACGGCACACTGAGAGGAACCGTTTTTTTTACACACACACGTACACACACACACACACACACTGACTAAATTACCCAAGAGTTAGACTCACAGCCTAACAACATTCAGACGTGTTACCAAGTTACTTGTGATTTAATCTGGGCCGCCGCAGTTCCCACAGTGTCTCGCTTTAGCGTTTAAAAGGAGGAATTCCTCTAAGCCATCTCGTCTCTGCCCATTGAGTTTAATGGAAACCACATGCATTACATTCAGCAGGGAAGTAAAAGGCATTTTCAGTCTCACCCTGGACGCCCCACACGGGCTGAAGGGTGTTTTTGTTTCCAGTCAGGTTGTATTTGTGATTTCTTTGGAACAGCTATTGATGTGCTGTGTAATTTAGAGGTAGCGTATAACATCAGACATGTCTTACATCAAGCCAGTATCGTGTTATGAATGCATGTCAATGCTTTTGGATAATGCTGTACTATTTGTAGGCCGTGCTTGTTGCCAGAATGTCTTAATGTTTCACTAGGTTTGTGCATTTTTACTATGGCTTTGTACGTTGATCTATTGTATACAGTATTTTGGCAATTTATTTTACATCTCGTGAAGCTTTCTGGGGAGAAATTCTGTAATGCTAAAGATAATGTGTGTTAGACATTTATATGCTAGTATAACAGTCCTAAAACCTGACAAAATAATTGAACTGGAGGACACAGAGATTTGTTTAAAAGAGATTAGCACTTTCCCTTGTGAAAAAGAAGTATACTTTAAAAAGAGCACTTACTGTGGGGAAAACAAGGGAAATGCATAAGTGCAAACTGCATGTAATGTTTCAGACACAAAATTGCATGTTAAATGAAAAGGAAAATTTAAATTAAATGCAAATGCCTGAACTTTAGAGTGTTTTTTTTTGTAAAGTTTTGAATAAAACAGAAAATTGGAGTATGTTTTACAAGAAAATACTATTTTGGTTCCTCTTCATCAAAATGTCATGTTTAATACAATGTTGCCGTTTCTTTGTTCTCGTTTTTAAAATTTACAAGCAATTTTTGAGTGAAAATTGTTTCCACACTTAATTTGTGTAAACTAAAATATGCTTTAATGTAATATCTATCAATGTATTAGAATATATGTGTAATTACACAGTTGTAATGATGAAGTAATTTAATACATTTAAAATGTTCATTTTGAAATGTAAAATTAAATAATGCACTACAGTTAGAGTTATAATCAAGTACTTTGTATGCATAACGTTAGTCAGCACATCAAAATAAGTGTACTTCTATAAAGCATGACAAAAAATTAAAACAATAAATAAAAATGTTTTATTTAAAAAAATAAAAATTCAACATTTTTAGTTTAATAAAAAGTTTATTTAAAATGACTGAAGTGTACATTTTAAAGTTTGTTAAACATAGTCATGAAAGTGTCTCTCTACTACACTTAAGTGCCCTTTTATTTCATTTAATATTATATTAGTTGTTAGTACACTTTTTTGTAGTACACTTCTTTTTCTCAGTACACTTCTTTTACACAAGGGCTGGTATGATCCTCTCCAGGAAGTTTTTATTTAATTATTAATGTCCTGTTTTTTAGGATATGTCAGTACAGGAAAGAAAACATCATTTGTCAAGCCTTTTGCTTCAATACAAGGAAACTTATTTTAGCACTTGATAATGTTAGCTGCTCATACTTTTTAGTAGATTGCATTCTACTGAAGACGTCGCAGCATCCAAAGTGCTTTTGAGCCCCTCACTGACATGTGGAGCCAAACAGAGGATCATTTATTAACCAGACGCAACACACGGCCTCGTGGGACGCACTAATCAATAACTGATTAGAGTTTTTCATAATCATTATAAATCAAAATAATCCCTTTAAGAGTCACTGTTAGCACTGTGACTACAGAATACAATATGACATAATATATTTGGGCAGAATGCACATAGATAAAAACACATACATCACGAAAAATATAATAAAATAAATCTAAAATACTAAAATAGTTACTCTACAGCTTTTCTATGAGTACACAGTACAATGTATTGGCATTTTCTAATTAGTTTTTTACAGTGTACTCCTCTAGTATTCTGCTGCATTGAGTTTTTAAAGATATTGTTTGTCCGCTCGAGTAACACCCTTTGCCATAAGGAGTCGCACTATTTCTGGCAGGGGAAAGAGCCATTAGGAAACGGTCTGAGCGATCAGTGATGGTTACTCTTACCCAGGAATGGCATCTGAGAGGCGGCATTTAAATTAGCCCAGCGGTTCCTCTTGCAGGAGCTGAGAATAGATGAGCACTGTTGGGTGATGAAGGTTTACGACCGCCAGTGAACTCAAGGTCATCCCTCTGAAAATATGAGCTGTAAAACCACTTGTTATGCGCATTTTGGAAAATGGCATTAAAAAAGCTGAATGGAAACACCAAGATGTGCATAAATTCTAAAAAATGCATATAAAAAACTGAGTTGATCCGATGAGAAACTATGCACATAAACTAGATGGAAACACATTTACGGAATAAATTCCACATTTAAAAAGTCATGTGACTTGACGGCATAGCTGGACTAACCAGCAGACATTAATGCATGTGTTACGGGGCTGACGAGACGTGAGACTTGCGGATCCATGTGCAAGCTTTATTTGATAAAGACAGAGACGTGGTCATACAGCAGGCCTGGGTCAGATGAGGGCAAACAGGTATATGGAGGGCAAAACACAAGAATAGTCCTAGGGCTAGCGCAGGTCGACGATCGGCAGACAGAATCAAAAAGGGCAAGACAAAAGGGGTGAATCCAGGGAAACAGGCGAAGATCAGAAACCGAGAAGGCTAAGGCTAAGGCTAAGGCTAAGGCTAAGGAAAATGACAAGGGCTAGGGCTAAGGCAACAAACGAGGGCTCTGTAGAGTCGCTATCGCTAGGGGAGTGATAAATGCGGAACAATACTCGGCAGAGGGAAGGGATAAAAGTGAGTGTTATATAGTGAGGGAGTGATATGAAACAGCTGGGTGCAATCAGTGTAAACAGGTGTGTGCAATTCGTGCTGAGTGCAATCAGTAATGCATGATGGGAAATGTAGTCCGGGGTGCTATGCAACAGTTTGTGTGGTGCGAGAGTCAATGAAAAGGAAAGTTCATGGACCGGATTCGTGACAGCTTGAGCCAAAGTCTGTATAGTCAAAGTGATTTGCTATTACCTCCCAGAACTGAACACAGCTGCGCTCCCAAACAGCAGACATCCTCCTCCGAAAGCAAGATAAAACATGACCGCATTTACGTTTCGTCTGCGAGCTCTGAGGCGCAAGTCATTTATTTTATATGAAAAAAGACCCACGGTGGCTTCTACTGCAGCAAATGACCTTTTTCTTAGTGATATTTGGTGCTAGTTTATCTGGGTTTTGTTCTCTTCGTCTTGCTGGATGGAAACAGTGCTTTATTTGCAAAAGTGTTATGCCATACCTTAAATTCGCAACTTTGGATGGAAACACAGCTAGTGAGGTTGCGAAGAAAAGGAGAGTTGCAAGTAGTAAATGTACTGTGACGAGAACAGACAAAGAACTGAACCAAACTAGCAATATAAATACACAGGACAAATGAGGGAGAAAATAAGGAACAAGTGGGACTGATCGATTAATAAATGAATAACTACGGGAATGAATAAACGCTGAACCGAATGTAGAAAACACAGACACTACGTGATTTGTGTTTTCCAAGAGCATAGTTAGATAGATAGTCCAATGATTTCAGGTCATATTAAATCAGATATTTATAACCATATATTTATATATTATAAAAATTCCACATTCACCGTAGTTTTTCTGAATACATGTGTATTACAGTGATTGTTGTGAAACTGAATGCACTGCTTATACTGTCTTTTTGTTGTAGATGGACCTGAAGCTACTTTTCATGTCAACATTATTCGGGATCATTTGTTGCAGCAGCGCGCAGCAAGGTAATGTGAACTCCGTAGTTTCTAATTCACTGTATTTCTGTCCAGTGCACTGTAACTGTCGTCAGAATTAATAAGCGCTGGGTTTCTATGAGGATAACTAATCGTTCTCTCTCCAGAGCGAGCGTTAAATACTGATGTCATTACTCAGAGCGCGCTCCACCCAGCGAGGTCGGAGCATTATCCATAATGGAAAACATAGAGTAGTCATCTTGGCTCTAATTACAGCGAGCCGGAGTGATGTAAATGAATCGAAGCTGTAGATGTGAAATGCTCTCCGTCTCTCCTGTTCTGCAGAGGGCAACGAGTGCATCAAAGCCAACGCTTTATCCTGTGGCGAGTGCATACAAGTGGGGGCTAAATGTGGATGGTGCACTGATACAGTGAGTAGTGTTCAGATGCCATGGTCATTCTGTTCTTTAACCCTCCAAACACATTTACTGACCCAGTATGTTCATGCTGAATCACACTCACATTCATGCTGACTAATCAGAGCTGTACTGATAGACCAAGAGCATGATTACCAGTCTGATATCGCTTTTATACAACAGTTCAATAAACAATTGGACCAAACAGGCATAATGCAGAAGAAAATGACTCTAGATGTTAATAGGTTTGGCAGATTTGCCAGGAACAGTAATGACGGATGGATGTTGTAATTCCATTCATGCTCGGAAATCTCATTCTCTTCTGCTTGGAAACATCGTGGTGATGCTTGAGATTCCTTCTAGGAGCCCTTATAAGGAATTTCAAGCATCAGTAAAGTTTTTTGTATTTTATTTTATTTCAGATAGCGTTTATTTCAAATAACGGAAATGTTTTTTATGGTTTTAATTTAATTGTAGTACATTAGAATAACCCTGCAAACTAGTACTGCAGGTACAGTGATGATGATATAATTAATATTGTCTTATTACTATGTTAGTACACTGTAAATAAATAAAACACATTTTACACTAACATTGTAACTACACTACACATTTCACATTACTGAATTTTAAATATCAAGTGTCATAACACAACAGTTATTTCTTTAGATTAATTAACTGTAAGATGATTTTCTTTACTAAAGGTTTCTTTTTATCATACACTCTCAATGTGCAAACATGCAAAAATTGTACCTTTAACATCTTGCGTGTTGCATATTTTTTCTGACTGCATGGTTTTTAATTTTATAGCATGTGCTTCATTTCTTCATTGTTTCTACGAGATATGTACACCAGTTTAAGACATTAAACATTTTATTCAGCAAGGACACATTAAAAAAATATTTCTGCTGTTCTTTTGAACTATGCATTCATCAAAGAATACTGAAAAATAAAATGTATCACAGTTTCCACCTAAATTTTTCAACATTGATAATAATCAGAAATGTTTCTCGAGCAGCAGATCAGCATATTATACTGATTTCTGAAGATCATGTGACACTGAAGACTGCAGGAATGATGCTGAAAATACAGCTGCGCATCACAGAAATACATTACAGTTTAACACAGATTCACATAGAACACAGTTATTTTAAATTATAATAATATTTCGCAATATTACAGTAATATTGACTCATGAAAAAAAAAGAAACCAATGTGAAACACCACAAACAGACGTTGAGGGAAACAAGAAACATGACAATAGTAGCAATCAATTAATAATTTAAAAGAAATACAACTTAAAGATAAGGTTGTAAATTATTAGAATTTTTATTATCCTTTTTTACAATGGATTCACTGTTTAATCGACATCTTCAAAGAATCTGACATGCTTAATTCACATACGCTCTTATATTTACTCCCCATCAGGAGTTTCTGAAGCAGGGCGAGCCGACGTCAGCACGCTGTGATGAGCTGGAGTCGCTCAGAAAGAGAGGCTGCGACAAGATCGAGAACCCTCACGGGAGCCAAAGGATCCTCAAGAACAAAGCCGTGACCAACCGCAAGAAAGGAGCAGAGAAACTCCGACCCGAGGACATTACACAGATCCAGCCTCAGAAACTCAGCCTCAACCTCAGAGCTGGTGCCGACTCACAATCTGAAATCCTTGTTGGTTTTTATTGATCTGTGCAAGTAACTAAAGGAATATATTTTGTGAATGAATTGTTCCTGTAGGGGAACCTCAGAATATCATACTGAGGTTCAAGAGGGCAGAGGACTATCCCATAGACCTGTACTACCTGATGGACCTGTCCTACTCCATGAAGGATGACTTGGAGAACGTCAAGAACCTAGGGACTAGTCTGATGAAGGAAATGTCCAAGATCACCTCAGATTTCAGAATAGGTGAGAGTCTAATAAAATCAAAACAAAACCCTCCTGTAGTTTTGCGTGAAACATTGTCTCCGTTATATACTTGTTTTAAACATGTAATAGCATTGTAATATATGTGAAGCATATATGTTTAATAAGTTTATCATATCTGTCAAGGATACATTTTATATAAAATGTATGAATGGTAATGTGTTAAAATTATTTACTTTTAAATATATGCATCTCAAATTACAAATGTCATGTGTCAAACTGCATGTTCATTTTCAATACAGCTTTCCATAAAAATGTCTTTCTATATATATATATACACACACGACGGTTCGGTTCGGTACAGTTTTGGTACAGCAGGGGGGAAAACTAAACATAATACATTTTACATAATACAGTTATAAAGTTATAATTTTAGGGATAAAAATCTACCTCGGCTTATGCTCTAAACTATAGTGAGCCCTTTTACATTAGGCCTACTATACTACTATAA